ACACACAAAAACTGCTTATAAATGTTAACACCTTTAAAAATTCACAAACCCTATATGAGGCATTTGGAAGCAAGATTTTGGGTTAAGTCATAAGAAGAGAAGAATGCCTTTGGGGGGTGGGGTGGCTCAGGGCAGGGTGTGCATTGTGGGGGTACCCTTCCTAATGGGAAAAGTGTTGTAGTTTGAAAATATATTTTTATATTAAAATATTAAGCTGATAGAAGCTTAGAAAGTTCTGAAGATAGGTAATAGCTAAAATGTATACTCAATCCTATAGAATATACTATTCTGAAACATTTACTCTAATTGTCAAAATGAATTTAATTCATATATGTTTTTTTTTTGAATAGTGCATAGAATAATATGATGTAAAAATGCCTCTTTAAGATGGTAACTTGGGAGAAATTTGTATGGATCTCCCACTAGGATTCAATAACTTCTTTTTAGAAAATGAGGCATGCAAACTAAAAAAATGCATCATATGGGTTGAAACATGATTTGGGAGATCACAAAAAACCTGTGGAATGGGATGTAAGCAAAGTCAAGGAGATCATACACAGTTTATAAATAACTCAATTGAAGAGAAAGTGATAATTATTATTGTATTGCAGGCGATGATAATGAAAAAAAAAATCACTTGTGGTAAAAAATGAACCATATAATTTGAGATTAGAGAAATTTATAAGCTTAAATAATAGTGTTATAGAAATTTAGATTTTATATATCAGTTATGATCCTTGCCCCATTTGTTTAAGCTTTGCAGGTTGACGAGTGTTCATCAACACATGATGCGCAACTTGGGTCTTCTATAAACCACCACCTAACAAGTGGTATAAGAGCTAATTGTACGTTTGAAATAAACTTTTTTGTATGTTTTGCTACTCTTACAAGTCTTAACATCATTTGTCATAGTCGAACAATATTTAAGAGTTGATGACTCCCACATATGCTCGACATTGTTGAGTGCTCTTGGTGAATGCTAGTTGATAATGTTGAGAAGTCTCCATTAGAGGCGAGCGATGACCAATATTGAGATTTTCATATGAGGGGGAGATTATGAGATATGTTAAGATAGTGGACAATAGTTCCAGATTATGAATGAAATGTGAATTAAGTTTTTGATTTGCTAATAATGAATTTTATATCGTTGTTTAATTTTTTATGTTGATGGGTTTTAGGTATTGCTCAACTTGGTTCCCTAATGATCCAACAGTTCCAATGTTTTTCTCATTATGTTAGATTCGCTTGTTTTATGACCAATTCCTTCAGATATTTGTCTTTTTAGAGTTCCATATGATGGAACCAATTAGTGGAAATAGTTTTCCCATCATAATTCTTGGAGTTTGACACTTTGTCCCTATTTATTATACAAGGGACCTGGAGGCCATTTGAGATCACTTTTAGTTTTATTTTCTATTATTTTTATTTTGTTTTGTTTATATTTATATTTGAAATATAACATATTTGGTATTTTAATAATATTTTTTTTGTTTATTTATGTGTTAGTAGTGGTTGTTGTCCATGGGTCAATACTCAATAGCGACGACTAACTAAAAATGGTGGTGTGGCGGCTGTTCCTGGTGGGCAACAATAATAGCTATTTTTAAAAACGTTCAAAACTTTAAAAAGTGTTTTAATAATAATGTGATTATTTTTAAAATAAAAAATAAAATCAGTTCAAACACACTCAACAAACATGATTTAAAAAATAATGATAAAAAAGTGGTTCTTAACTTGCCCTTGTTTTAAGAAAGTGGTGGCTCAGTGCGGGTGTGCATTGTGGGGGTACCCTTCCTAATGGGAAAAGAGTTGTAGTTTGAAAATATATTTTTATATTAAAATATTAAGCTGATAGAAGCTTAGAAAGTTCTAAAGATAGGTAGTAGCTAAAATGTATACTCAATCCTATAGAATATACTATTGTGAAACATTTAATCTAATTGTCAAAATGAATTTAATTCATATATGTTTTTTTTTTGAATAGTGCATAGAATAATATGATGTAAAAATGCCTCTTTAAGATGGTAACTTGGGAGAAATTTGTATGGATCTCCCACTAGGATTCAATAACTTCTTTTTAGAAAATGAGGCATGCAAACTAAAAAAATGCATCATATGGGTTGAAACATGATTTGGGAGATCACAAAAGGCCTATGTGGAATGGGATGTAAGCAAAGTCAAGCAGATCATACGCAGTTTATAAATAACTCAATTGAAGAGAAAGTGATAATTATTATTGTATTGCAGGCGATGATAATGAAAAAAAAAATCACTTGTGGTAAAAAATGAACCATATAATTTGAGATTAGAGAAATTTATAAGCTTAAATAATAGTGTTATAGAAATTTAGATTTTATATATCAGTTATGATCCTTGCCCCATTTGTTTAAGCTTTGCAGGTTGACGAGTGTTCATCAACACATGATGCGCAACTTGGGTCTTCTATAAACCACCACCTAACAAGTGGTATAAGAGCTAATTGTACGTTTGAAATAAACTTTTTTGTATGTTTTGCTACTCTTACAAGTCTTAACATCATTTGTCATAGTCGAACAATATTTAAGAGTTGATGACTCCCACATATGCTCGACATTGTTGAGTGCTCTTGGTGAATGCTAGTTGATAATGTTGAGAAGTCTCCATTAGAGGCGAGCGATGACCAATATTGAGACTTTCATATGAGGGGGAGATTATGAGATATGTTAAGATAGTGGACAATAGTTCCAGATTTTGAATGAAATGTGAATTAAGTTTTTGATTTGCTAATAATGAATTTTATATCGTTGTTTAATTTTTTATGTTGATGGGTTTTAGGTATTGCTCAACTTGGTTCCCTAATGATCCAACAGTTCCAATGTTTTTCTCATTATGTTAGATTCGCTTGTTTAAAGACAAATTGGTAGTGGTTGTTGCCCATGGGTCAGTACTCAATAGCAACGACTAAATAAAAATGGTGGTGTGGCGGCTGTTCTTGGTGGGCAGCAATAATAGCTATTTTTAAAAACGTTCAAAACATTAAAAAGTGTTTTAATAATAATCTGATTATTTTTAAAATTAAAGATAAAATCAGTTCAAACACACTCAACAAACATGATTTTAAAAATAATGATAAAAAAGTGGTTCTTAACTTGCCCTTGTTTTAAGAAGGTGGTGGCTCAGGGCGGGGTGTGCATTGTGGGGGTACCCTTCCTAATGGGAAAAGAGTTGTAGTTTGAAAATATATTTTTATATTAAAATATTAAGCTGATAGAAGCTTAGAAAGTTCTAAAGATAGGTAGTAGCTAAAATGTATACTCAATCCTATAGAATATACTATTGTGAAACATTTAATCTAATTGTCAAAATGAATTTAATTCATATATGTTTTTTTTTTTTGAATAGTGCATAGAATAATATGATGTAAAAATGCCTCTTTAAAATGGTAACTTGGGAGAAATTTGTATGGATCTCCCACTAGGATTCAATAACTTCTTTTTAGAAAATGAGGCATGCAAACTAAAAAAATGCATCATATGGGTTGAAACATGATTTGGGAGATCACAAAAAACCTGTGGAATGGGATGTAAGCAAAGTCAAGCAGATCATACGCAGTTTATAAATAACTCAATTGAAGAGAAAGTGATAATTATTATTGTATTGCAGGCGATGATAATGAAAAAAAAATCACTTGTGGTAAAAAATGAACCATATAATTTGAGATTAGAGAAATTTATAAGCTTAAATAATAGTGTTATAGAAATTTAGATTTTATATATCAGTTATGATCCTTGCCCCATTTGTTTAAGCTTTGCAGGTTGACGAGTGTTCATCAACACATGATGCGCAACTTGGGTCTTCTATAAACCACCACCTAACAAGTGGTATAAGAGCTAATTGTACGTTTGAAATAAACTTTTTTGTATGTTTTGCTACTCTTACAAGTCTTAACATCATTTGTCATAGTCGAACAATATTTAAGAGTTGATGACTCCCACATATGCTCGACATTGTTGAGTGCTCTTGGTGAATGCTAGTTGATAATGTTGAGAAGTCTCCATTAGAGGCGAGCGATGACCAATATTGAGACTTTCATATGAGGGGTAGATTATGAGATATGTTAAGATAGTGGACAATAGTTCCAGATTATGAATGAAATGTGAATTAAGTTTTTGATTTGCTAATAATGAATTTTATATCGTTGTTTAATTTTTTATGTTGATGGGTTTTAGGTATTGCTCAACTTGGTTCCCTAATGATCCAACAGTTCGAATGTTTTTCTCATTATGTTAGATTCGCTTGTTTCATGACCAATTCCTTCAGCTATTTGTCTTTTTAGAGTTTTTAGAGTTCCATATGATGGAACCAATTAGTGGAAATAGTTTTCCCATCATAATTCTTGGAGTTTGACACTTTGTCCCTATTTATTATACAAGGGACCGGGGGGCATTTGGGATCACTTTTAGTTTTATTTTATTTTTTTTTGTTTTGTTTATATTTATATTTGAAATATAACATATTTGGTATTTTAATAATATTTTTTTTGTTTATTTATGTGTTGGTAGTGGTTGTTGCCCATGGGTCAGTACTCAATAGCAACGACTAAATAAAAATGGTGGTGTGGCGGCTGTTCTTGGTGGGCAGCAATAATAGCTATTTTTAAAAACGTTCAAAACATTAAAAAGTATTTTAATAATAATCTGATTATTTTTAAAATTAAAGATAAAATCAGTTCAAACACACTCAACAAACATGTTTTCAAAAATAATGATAAAAAAGTGGTTCTTAACTTGCCCTTGTTTTAAGAAATTCCTCCTTTGTCTATAATTTTATGAATCTAAAAAAATGCTGATCAAAAAATTTTGTAAAGTCTTTCTGAAAATAATTTTCTTTATTTTCCAAAAGATAAAAACTTTTACAAGACACACTAAACAAACACATTTTTTGTATAAAATCTTATGCATCTCAAAAAATATTGTTTGAGGTAGGTTTTGCTGTTCTCATTTGGTTTTTCTTGTTTTCAGAAGCACTGCAAGCTTGCAATGGAGGATAGAATTAGCACTCTGCCAAGCAACATCATTGAACTTATACTCATGTGCTTACCAATAGCAGAGGCAGTACGTACAAGTATTCTATCCAGCAGATGGCTATATCAATGGTGCACCATCCCCAATCTCATATTTGACAAGCACAGTGTCCCATCAGGCGCAAATTATAGACTTGAGAGCATCGTAGATCAGGTCCTCCTACTTCATATCGGTCCCATTCACAAATTCGTCTTCGACGTCAACTCCTATGGTGGCATAAAAGATAGATGGCTGATTTTCTTGTCCCGAAAAAAATTGAAGGAGCTGGCTCTTAAATGTTATAGAGGCGACAAGATACCTACTGCTCTTTACTCCTGTCATGCTATAGAATCTCTGGATCTGTATGCTTGTGGATTTAAGCTTCCCTGTAGTTTTAATGGTTTTAGCTGCCTCACCTCCCTTCTCCTTAAAAGAGTAAGGATTTCGGGTGTAGATCTTGCATCACTTGTCTCCAAATGTCCAATTCTGAGAAAGTTAGCCTTTATCGATTGCGATTACTATGGTCATCTTAAGTTGAATGCTCCTAAGCTTCAGGAATTGATGATTGCGGGGATGTTTGATGACATCCATCTTGAAAATATGCCAGAGCTCGTCTCCTTTTCATTAAGGTTGGAGCGTGAAGATACTTTCAATGACGGAGAGCGCTGCAGAGAGCGCTATTTTAATAAGTGCCTAAGCAATATTCCCAAGATTGAGATTCTGGAACTGCTACGAAATGCTATTTATGTGACTGATTTGACTCTTTTTTTTCCTTTTTCTTTTGGTTTTTTCCATACATACCACATTATTCTCATGTATTTACATATCGAATACCTAAACATTCATATTTATACTTATATCACTCAAATCTTAAACATCACCTAAAGGAAATCACCATCATTTTCTTTTTAAAAATGAATCGCACCTTTTCATGCATAGATTTATAACAACAATGCATGTTGTTTTTGATATGAAAATACATTAAGAATTATGGAATGCATGTAAATTTCCATTTTTTTTATCCTTTTTAACTTTGTCGCTATCTTTAATCACTAATATATCGTGTAATATTTTCCTTTGGCAGTTTCTGACTAGAGGGGGTGTATTTAAGCCATTCCCAACTTATAGTTGCTTGAAGAAAGTTTTGTTGAGCAGTTTTAATTTTGAAGATCAGGAGCTTGTCATGACACTTGGTTCATTGTTACAAAATACCCCCGTGCTTAGGGAACTTCAACTAGAGGTATGTCTGTTAAGAATTTTATATGAATTTGTGAAAATGTTTTAGGTTGTACTTCTTAAAAATCGTGCTTAAAGTGCCCATTATTTATAAATAATTACTCCAATGTTCCATTGGGTCTATTAGCTAACAACTAATTTGAAGTTAGTTGGAAGTAGGGGTGTTAGTGAGCTCAAGTATCTGTGTTAAGTTAAGCACTTAGGGTGTGTTTAGGGTAGCTTGTGCTTATCTAGATAAGCCGCTTATCTAGAAACGCGGACTATGTTGTTCGACCCGCGATCCACATTTAGTATAAAAAATCAATTGTGTTTTCGGATAAACTGCTAAAACGCAGCTTTCAAATAGAGCCTTAATTTAAAGGCGTAATTTTCTTTTGCAGGCTTACTCAGTTGAGTCCACTACCCCCGAACCTACATCGAGGTGTTTTGATTGGAAGGAAAGCCGTAATTTTAATTTGAACGAGCTTCGAATGGTGAGGCTAACTGAGCTTGTGGGAGTGCGCAATGAAATGGAGTTCATAGAATTTATACTTTCTACTGCGTCCAGGCTCGAGTCACTAATTATACAGGTAGATGTTATAGGCCACGAGAAAGTCGAACTTTTCAAAGAGATCATGCGGTTCCGAAGGTCTTCTCCCATAGCCGAGATTATAATACTGGATTGAGGAGAATCCTCCTTTTTTATGTGCAGGTGGTATGTATGAACTAAACCATTTGTTTGTCTCCATGTCTCTTCCTCTTTTTTTATTGTTTTTGGGAGATTTATTCATTTATTTGTGGAAATATTTTCATTTATAAATTAATATAGGGCATCCAGTTATATGCCACCCAAATTCTCATGTATTCACATGTATAACTCTAAAAATTAACTTTTTATATTTATTCTTTTCAAAATTTTCGTATCACATAAAAAATATCACCAATTTAACATCTGTTCATGCATGAGTAAAGGGGTATGGTATGCATGTAAAAACTGATGTTTGGGTGTTAGATATGTAAATACATATGAATTTAGTGGTATGTTTGTAAATTTTCTGATTCATATTAATAGTTTTAAAATGAATCATCAGACTTATGTTGGTGTGTGCTACTACACAGTTTTTAATGAAGGTAAATGCTTAGTTGGAGCTTGCATTCATATAAAACTTTAATGCAGAAATGTCTAAGTCCTCCACATATATTATGTATTAATTAAACCTACCACTGAAAACCACTCTTTGGATCATTCATAAAAACCATATCATATCATATATATATATATATATATATATATTCAATCGTATGTACAACTGAGTTATGAAAATCTCACAAGCGTCAGATTAAATACCTAGATTGCCCTGCAGGCAAAAACAACTGATATTCTTCCATTGGCCGATCTTCAATTTCAGCATTATTTATTCCATGAAGATTTGGCAATCATATATTTGTTAAAGGAGAACCAAATTTCTGCGCCAGAATAAGCTACAATCAACCTATTGGCTTGCCTGCAACAAAAAACCAAAATTAGTCAGCCTTACTAATCGAAATGTTGCACCATTACTTTTAGGGGCAGTTACATATATGCCACCCAATTCCTATACATTTACATATCTAACACTTGGACTTGTTTTTTTACATTTATACCACCAAAATCTTTCGTATCACATCAAAAGTATGATCATTTCAACTTTTTGAAAGTGAAAAACATCATTTCATGCTTACGTAAGATGGTGCGCATGTTAAAATTGAAGTTTAGGTGTTGGATATGTAAATACATAGGAATTAAGTGTTAAATATGTTGCTGCTAAACCGTTCTTTTGGTTGCCTACTTTGAGCTGAAGATTGATGAGAGCTGCGAGAACGAAAAGACTTGTAGGCGAGGTCATTCAGATCCTGCAATGACATAAGATTCTTGACGACAAAATCCATGGAAGGGCGAGCTTTCGCATCCCTGCTAAGACAGCCGTTGGCAATCTGGGCTACTTTCTGCACACCTTTAATTGAATAGTTGAGCTCTAGACGAGGATCTACAAGATGCAAAAGCTTCCTTTTATCACCAAGCTGCGGCCGAGCCCAAGTGACGAGATTTTGCTCGCCGGGCGGGCGCTTTTTGTCAATGGATCTTCGACCCGTTAAGACTTCAAGTAGCACAACACCGAAACTGTAGATGTCGCTTTTTGATGTTAAGTGTCCTGAAATAAAAAATGTATATAGGTGCTTCATCTAAAGTATGAAGTTTTGCAACTTTATTAGTATGCTTTTGCATTCAAACAATATTTTTCATGTCATGATTAAAAACTTTTGTTGAATCATATACTGAGTTGGTATTATAAGAGAATTTGATTTTTGAATTCCGTTACAGAAAAAATGACAAAAATTAAATAAAAATAGTTGTAAAACTCTTATAATGGTTGATTATGGCCTAAGAAAAACATAACAAGAAGCATATCAAGCTGTAATTATGAAATATTAATATTTAAGAACGATAACATAATCATAGATCATTCTCCCCAATACCTCATATCTATTCATTGCTTAGGAGATTCTGGGCCAGTGATATACTATGGGAAATATATTAGTTTCAATTCCAGTTTTAAACTTGTGTGCATGTTAGATGTATGATTTCTTCGAATGCGATGCAAGTGTAACTGTCTAGTTATGTTGGAAGTCATTTCATTGTACTGACATGAGATCTGAGTATCTATTACTTCTGTGAATTTGTTTCTTTCACCCAAGCTCTTTTACACAACATATTATTAGCTTGATAGTGTTTTTTATTTGTATAAATTTTATACAATTGAAGATCTAATTGTGGCAAATAAATTGCAATTACTCTCTTGATTTTTTTGTGATTCTAATTTACTCTTTATTTCAATAAAATTATTTGATCATTTCATATGGTTTGCAGTCTAATTCTTTAATTTATTGGTTTAGATCTATAGAAAGTAAGCTTCCCTATATAGAATGGTCTTTGATCTCTGAATCCTAAGTTGTTTTGTGTGATCTAAATATATTGTATCATTATAAGACATCAGAAAACAGTGAAAAACTAATTATAAATCATTCTGCATTAAATGTACACAAGTAATATTTATCTAAACTTCTAAGAAGATTAAGAGCATTTAAGAGTTAAAAATTCCTGTATCTGAACTGCTCAAGTGCCTATGGCATAAACTGGAATTCAACAGTGAGAATGTACTTCCCACTCCTGCTAAACTCTGGCCTACTTTCATCTAGTATGTTCCATGTACGTTGATAATCACATCTGTAAAATCTGAATTAAACAAATTCTATGCACAAAATCCAAAAAATAAAAAAAAAGAAAAAAAGGCACAAAATCCTAAGGGCTTGTTTGGGATCAATTTTGTTTTTGTTTTTCTTTTGTTTTGTGTTTTTTTAAATATTTTTATTTATTGTTTTTAAAAACAAATTAATCTATTTTTAAAAATAGTTAAAACATATTTTAAGCATTTTGAGTATTTTTTTCATGCTTTAATAAAAAAGTCAAACATGTTTTGTTTCAAATCAAAATATAAATAATACAATATAAGAACAAAAATAAAAAATTTAAATGATCCCAAAGGCCTCTTAGATTCTGAATCCAATATGCCATTTTCCTACCATTTGCATGCAAAGTCAACAAGTGATGCTCTTTCTGTAATTGCTACTTTATTCCTAAACTAGTTGCAGAATTGTCGATAGTATGATAGTTTTCAAGAATAATAACATAAAAAGTAAGTTTTGCAATTCTATCCAGTCTGGATCAAAAATCCTAAACTTCTCCTTCTAGTAAGCTCTTTCCAAAGTACGTGTGAGCAAGTATACATACAGTGTGTTAGACGGGCAAACCGTTGGAATAAGAGATTCTATGCAATTTGGGAGGAGTAAATACTCTTAATATGACTTTGAATTTGTACCAGTCATGATGTACTCTGGTGCAGCATAACCATATGTACCAACAACTCTGGTTGATACGTGAGTCTTATCTCCTTGGGGTCCAGCTTTAGCCAGTCCAAAGTCAGAAAGTTTTGCATTGTAGTCCTGTAGAAAGAATAAAACTGTTATATATTTGTAGGACTATTTTTGTTCAAGAAACCAAATATAGCAAATTGTAGAACGAACCATATCTAGAAGAATATTAGATGTTTTGAAATCCCTGTAGATAACCGGCTTTGCGCTACCATGGAGAAAAGCTAACCCTTTAGCAGCCTCAACAACAATCTTAATCCTGCTGGACCATGGAAGAGGAAAAGACCCTTCGATAGCCAATAAGATCAGTCAGGATAATTGGCTACAGTAATTTTTAATCATATAACTAGTAATACTTAAGAGCATGACTGTAATGACTGAATTTTAAATGATGATGATGATATATGTAACTACTCCTTTAATTTTTACTATTCCATAAATTTGATAGCAATCTATCTGTGCTCCTCTCCCCGCATATGCAAGTCATTCTTGAACAAATCATGCAAATTTTGGTGTTGTTGTCTCTATGATTGTTTTTTTTAATATTATATTTGCATACATGGTAATAATTTCATTTCTCTGAGGTTAATCTGCAAATAATTGATTGCACTTGAAAAACTTGTTATTTCATTTAACATATGTGTTTAAATAGGTGTTACCATGTGGTTTGCATTGATCTGTTAATATCTCATGCTAACCATCGTCATTCTAAACTTGTCAGACCAGGCTCAAGGAGACTACTTTAAGCCATACAGTGACTTCCTGAACCTACACACCTTGCCCACTGTCTGGAACGTGCTGAATCCTAGTAGTATCTACATACATACATCCTCTAGTAGCTCCTCATGAAGAAAAACATTCTTTACATCCAGTTGGTGGAGTCTTCATCCACCATTCACTGTCAAATAAGCCAATGTCCTCACCATGTTCATCTTTGCAATTGGTGCAAAGATTTCATAATAGTCATTTTCATACATCTGACTGCATTCTTTTACCACTAATCGTGCTTTTTACCTCTCCACCCTCCCTTCTGGAGTTTTGCTTTACCGTGAATATCCAATTGCATATAATTGTCATCTTCCCTGCTGGTAGTGGTACAATCTTCCATGTTCGATTTTTATCAAAAGCTCCAAGCTTTTCATACATCATCGCTTTCCACTTGGGATCCTCTTTAGTAACTTGCTAACAATTTGATATAGAAACAGAGTCTAATGGTGTAATGAATGCTCCATGCAAAAGTGCGATGTTAGAATAAGAAATAAAGTTCACAATGTCAAATTCTCACTCAAAACGATCAGGAGGATGTCCCATATTATTGTGGGAGGACCTCATTAACGTTAGGGTGTAAGAGTGGACGGAGGAAAAATAATATCACCTGGGAGTTTTGAATCAAAAGTGGATGGTGTAGGTGTCTCAAAAGTTGGGGAAGATCAGACAAGAGAATTGTTGACACTGCAGACTCTATTATCTCAGTTTACTTTTTCATCGGTGTATATGCCTTTAGTTGACCTTTAGCTTGAATCCCACCACTTTTGGGTTCAATCTTCTCGATTTTCGTCTCATCAATTGATTCATTCCATATCACAGAATATGTCATTGATTCCATTTGCACCACATCATCGCTACTACTAATCACTCTCTCTTGTCACATATCTCCAGCGTATGTTGATTCACCGAAGGGTGAATTCACCTCCAGAGTGTAGTATGGTTCAAACTCTTTGAATGACACATTCATACTCACAAAGAGTCATTTCTCAATCAGGCTCCAACAGACACAACCTTTCTGAGTAGCAGAATAACCCACAAACACATTTCACAACTTTGAGATCCAACTTCCCTATAAATGGCCTGTTGTCTTTCAAAAAAACATACACATCCAAATATCTTCAATGGAAGGATCTTACTATTGCCTCCTTTCAGCATCTGATAAGAAGTTTTCCACTCCAGCAATCTTGAGAGCATCCTGTCAATTAATTGAGTGGTTGTCAACACTGTTTGCCCACATAAGTGATGCGGGACATTCACCGTTATCATGCTCCGGGCAACCTCTAGAAGATGTTGATTCTTCCTCTCTGCTACTCCATTTCGTGTTTGTGTGTATGGGCATGTCGTATGATGTTATATCCCTTGAGCTGACAGGTAGTCCCCAAATGTTTTGTTGATATATTGTCCCATTATTAGATTTTAGTGCCTTCACAACTGCCCATATTGGGTCTGGATTGTCATGTGAAAATTTTTAAAGCAAGCAACCACAACCTTATCTGTTTCATCAAGTTTATCCAGGTAACACGAGAAAAACAATCAATAAACGTAACAAAATAACGATGATCATTCATAAAACTAGTATGACAAGATCCACATACATCAGAATGTATCAAATCAAACACATCAGAGTTCTTATTCCCAAAACTGACATAAGAGCTCCTAATGAGCTTGCAAAACTCACAAGCATCACACACCAGCTTCTCCTTATTTGTTTTTCATACAATGATGGATAAAAATGACTCAATAAACTGAAAGAAGAGTATCTCATGCACTTGTGATGTAACAACAAGACATCATCCATACTCTCTCAAATCCTCCTGCTCCAATATTCTCAACCATGGATGTCAAGTCCGAGTCTATCCCCTTTGTATCCAAGTACCATAGTTCACTATGCCACGTGTCAATCTGAAGTTTCCAGCTAGTCCCCTTCTCTTGAAAAGATCACATTTGGAATATCAAATGAAAAACACATTTTATTAGAAGTATAATGACACTATTGGATAAAATGTTCACTGGAAAATGAGCATATAAAACATTGAACAAAGTCATAGAATTGATAAACCTCACTCTACCCTTACCAACCACAGTCTGTGTTATACTATCAGCGGTCTGAATGCTATTTGGAACTGCTAAGTGAGTATAAAAAGATAACTCACTAGTAGCACCTGTCACATGTCGAGATGCACCATAATCTACTATCTATTCTGATGAATTTGTGGTGAATATAGAGATAAGGGCATGTGTATCACGAGCACCTATAGTTGAGTGAGCATAACTAGCAGTGTTTCTCTTGAATGACGATAAGGTAGATGCATCCCCAATGACATTACATGTCGCTCTCCGCTTCATCTTCAACATCTTCGATAACTCATAATACTCATCTGTAAAAACCACCCATGTCTCTCTCTCGTTCTTCGCTGATACCCCCCTCTTTTACCCCTTTGGCCCCTACAATTATGACCACAACCTCTAGATTGCCCGCCCGTCTCTCTCTCCTTAGGTAGATTTGGACACGTGTTGCTCAGGTGTCCCACTTCTTGCAATTGTAGCATCTACGGGTCTCCCCCTGAGCACCTGTCCTACTCGAGCTCAAGGCATCAAAAGCTGATCGCATTCCTGGAAGTCCACTTGGCTGAGTTGGAGCATGTGTTGAGGTGGCTCCCGTTGAGACACTAGCTTTCTTTATGAGCTCAACCAAGGCCTTCAGAATTTCAGGATTCATCTTCCCCAAAAGTTTCAATCCTTTACCTCCAATAAGATCTCTGTCACCTAGTATCCTCGATATAACTATTCTTTGCTTTGTATGCCTGATCCAAAGCCCTTGCCAGATTCTATTCCAGTCGAAGCCGCTTGAACCTCCATATTGCTTCACATGCAAACGTATGCACTTCTCCTCTGCTTCGTAGCAAACGAAGGAATCACTTTGAAACTCCTAGTTGTCAAGATTAGGGCTCACTAGAAAGCAACAACTGAATAGCTAGTTTCCCTTTTGTCGAAGCTATGGGAGCTCCTTCTCCGCTCAGGATGCATGGGATGCGCAAAGACCTCTAGAAGTCCCCTCTTCCACTCCTACTCTCGAGAAGAGCACCAGTGGACCGAATCACACGATGCAAAGGCTCTGAAAGTTCCTTCTTTCGAAGCTACATCCGCCTCCTACTCACACGGGTAAGCCACAACCCACAAAGCAACCGCAAAGCTCCCATTTTTCTCGTCATCCGCTCTCCCTGCTCACACGGGTAAGCTGCAACCCACGGAGCAGCTAGCGAGGGAAGTAGCGGCGGTCCCTCGCAACAACAGTTTCGACAATGAACAGACTACCAGTCCCAGTTAGCTCTGATCATGATTGTTTCGTGATGAAGATACCGCTCGCAAAGACGATGGTGCACGTCGTTCAGCCCTAACGCGGGCTGTTAGGGTTAGGTTCTGAAATCATAAAGAATTGATTGCACTTGAAAAACTTGCTATTTCATTCATCATATGTGTTTAAATAGGTGTTACAATGTTCAACAACTAAATCCAATAAAACCCTCTAATTACACATAACTCACAACAATCTGATTGATGTCTTTAGCGCCCCTAAAGAGTTATTTTGGATACTCAAGTTATGACAAAATGACACAAAAACAATGAAGTTGAACCTCAAAGATTCCGTAAACAAATCCTTCTATCAGCAATGCCTAATACAAGTTTAAAGAAATATAAAACAATGATTTTAATATTTAAAAGAGGAATATAAGAGTTGATTTGTCTAAAAAGAGTTATGCTTAACACTTTAAACGGGAAGGATTTCCTTATTGTCAGAGGAGGAGATGGATAATAAAAGCCATTAAATTGATAATTCTCAATTCTAATTCCTACATAAGGTGGCATGTAAAATAGAAAAGCAAACTGTGCTGTGATTCACCTAATATCCTTCACCCGAGCTACTTCCCACAGTAACTAGTTTGCACCATACATTTAAGTAGAAGCCACATGGAACCAATATAAATCATTTAAGAAAGTATTTTAAATGAAAATTTATCAATTGCAATCATCTTTGATTTTGAAAAAAAAAAGGAAAAAAATACAACCAAGTTCAATATGAAGCACAAATCTATAGATCTAGTACAATCTAAAAATCAAGGAATATAAATCTTCGAATTTCAATTGCAATGACGTAATTTTTAAATAAAGTGCAACAAAAATACATGTACTTTAATTAAGATCTATAATCAAACTAACTAAAGAAGATAAAGCTGCAGTGCAGTTTTAATAATTGTATTCGATATTATTTTGGTCATATCAAATTAAAAAAAGCTGCTTACTATTTATTTTTTGGTTTGTTTAGCTGCAAATAGGGGCAAATTAATAACATCAATAGTGCAACATCTAACGGAGTAACATAACATCACATGAATAAGCATTTTAATACAAGATCCAAGCAGAAGATTTTATAGATCTCGCTCCTTCCAAATCCAAAGAAATACTTAAACATTTCAATTATATACTTCACATAATTAAACATAAAGTATGTATCCAAGATTTATACTCAAATTCTTCAAAAGATTTGGGAATTAAAAAAAAAACCTTACATACTTCGGAAAAGATGGTTTTCAAGACTTCCTCGGGGCATAAATTCATAAACAAGAAGCCTATGGTCATCTTCGATGCAGTATCCTAGAAGTTTAACGAGATTAGGATGATGTAGCCGTCCAAGGAAATCAATTTCAGCCTGTAATCAATAAAAGAAAGAAATGTTGATTATATAAAGGACAGTAAAGCTGGCAAAAGTAATCAGAAATTTATTTCATTTTTGTAAATTTTGCAATCTAAAAAGTGTTGCGCACATACCAACCATTCCCGGTGTCCCTGAAGAGCATCTGGTTTCAAACTTTTGACAGCAACAGTTACACCAGTTCCTGGTTTTGCAGGATTTGTGCTGTTTTCCTCTATCCATCCTTTGAAAACATACCCAAATCCACCCTCACCAAGGATGCTATCAGGTCTGAAGTTTCCAGTGGCAATCTTCAGCTCCTGAAATGTGAACTGTAGTGGATCACAACTTGGTTTATCTTTGGCTGTCGATTTATTGTCATTTTCCACAGAGAACATAGTTTCATATGGAATATTCATCTCACGAATGCTAGCATTTAAGTATCTTGCTTCTGTAGCTGCATTGAAAGTTCATTTTTTTTTATCACTAACTTCTCAGAATGAAACAAAAGATATGCACCATGTTTTAAAGTAAGTAACACAAAAGGACATGTGATGCATGTGATGAAAAAAAAAAAGAGGCAGTATAAGATTCATGGAGTTTTTACAATAATAACCAAGAAATAATGTCAAGGATGCATGGAAATTAGACGATAAAACTCGATACAATAAAAAATATTCGAGACCATTTTGTCCGTCAGATTTGTCAATACTAAGTAGCACACTATCACGCAAAGGTTCTTGTGGAGCCAACACATAGCGAATCACGTGAAGTTTTAAACATGTCACTAAAAAATGAAAAACTATGAATAAAAATGCAGCTAAATATGAAAGGCTATTAAATTAAAAGATAAACCATCATAATAATAAAAACAATTAAAGATACACTCAAGTTCAAGGTGTAATACCTTAACCATTTAAAATTTAAAATATTGTGATTTACCAGTCTAATATTTTTTAATAAATTAAACTATTTATCTTAAGAATCATCATCATCATCACAATTCAAAAAAATTTTCTTTCCTTCATCATCATCATCATTATCTCTTAAATCATAATTTTCTTCATCACCCTGATCATCTTCATGTTCAATCGCAACAATATTTGGCCTGTATCTTTAGATTGCTACTAATATTGTAATTTCTTTTTAGCTTGAACTATATTCAACATTCTTTTGGGTATCTAATAGTAATAGAGGTAACAAACACAAAATTTTGTAAACTAGAAAATTTTGAACATCAAAATACAATTTAGAAGAGTGAAATTTTTTGCTTATTAGGTTTTAGACACAATATAGAAATAGCAACTTTGGTGTCAATGGTGAGAACAGATACCATCATCAAGCCTTGTCAAGCAATTTCCTTTTTTGTTTGGTGAGAGAGTGTGCGGCATGCAAAGTTGAAGCAGCGAAAGATGCTTCAACATTCTTTGGCTTACAGTGCTTGCATATAAGGCAACGAAGTGAGAGACGTGTGTTGTTGAAGGCTAGAGAAATAAGCGAGGCTAGAAATACGAACGAGCAAGAAGAACATTAGTGGGTTTGTGATGGACAATGTAAAAGGCTTGTTGTTGTTACTGTCTGTTGAACTAATGTGTCGGTTAGATGCAATATTTTTGGATGTTATACAAAACTTTACAATAACTTTGGGATTTCTCCCAGTAACCATGAGAGACAAGGATAATCAAATTATTGACTTGTATTCTAAGTTATTGCGATCTAAAAATTTTGTGCTTGATTCTGCGCATGTAATTTAAATTTGATCATTTAAGCTAAATGATAGTCTTTTCCTTTGTGGTGTGAATCCTAAATCCTTATATGGGTTTAAATCTAAAAAATGACTTTTTTTATGGGTTTAAATCTAAAAAATGACTTTTTTTTTCGGGTGCATTTCATCCTAAATTTAAATTAATGAATCGTGCAACAGCCGGCATCAGCCCCCTTAAATTCCAATCAAGGTGGGCCAAGATTGGAAGTCAACGATGTGTTCATCTAACCGAAGTACTTTAATGGAAGAAGAATAGGTCTGAACTCAACAACCACAGTCAAATTTTATCAAAGATTTTAAAAATAAGATGATAGGTGCAAAATATGAATCAGAGACAGTGCTGAAAATTTGACCAAAAGAAATGGTGTCGGAAGGAATAGTTAGGCATCAGCAACTTCCAACCAAATAAATGCTTGACCAGGACCGCAGCTTAATCGTTGACTTAGGAAATGCTTTTCTGAATACAAAATTGACCATTATCCAGTACACAAATCAGGAAAAACTAAGTAAAATCCCAGCAAGCAACTGAAGGGCGAGAAACCGGTAGGGTTAGAACAAAATTTTCTTGGAATTAGTTCAGAGAAACCGAAGAAGCTCGGAACAATTTGAAGCTCCAAATAATTAACTCCTGACTTTCAGGGAATTCTTCATGGATACAAAATTAAGTAGTAAAGATTTGAAATTGTTATTCATCGACTGAAAACCCTTAATTCCACCCGCTCTCATCTATATAGACACGATTAATTGAAGGAGAAAACCCTCCAAATTTGAAAGCCATAGAAAAGAGTCCAATCCGCCATCAAAAGCATCTCAACAGTCCAACTCGATCAGGGCAAAATTAAAAAGAATCCTGATGATGAATAAGAAGGAGAGATCCAGGCGTAGGAGGGGGGTTTAGGGAAACCTGAATCGTGTACAAGGCTGATCCTGGAAATGTTATTGGCTGTCGCAGTAGCGACCGGCGATGCCCCGTAAGCTCCTCCTATTCCTCGAGAAATCGCCGCCCAGCAACCGCACTTAGTATCGCCTTCCATCACCATCCTCTCCTCCTTCCTCCGCCTTATCGAGAACTATTTATGACAAGGAAAAGAAGAAGCGGACTACTTGAAATCCAGCGTTTCCATGTCGAAGAAGATGAAGATGAAGAAGAAGAAGAAGCAGAGAGAGAGAGAGAGAGTGGGATGGGAATGAAGGTGTTCGCTGGTGCTCTTCGTCACCATCATGGTGGGAGTATATCGAAGATACCCAAGATAACACCCTTCCTTTCCAGTTTTTTTTTTTTTTTTTCTTTTTTTCTCTTTTTTGTCGTCGAAGAGAGAAAATTATTTTTTTATTAAATTATCTAAAAAAATTAACTATTTTAAAATCCACATTGAATATATTTTATTGGATATTTTGACCATTTTTATAAATAATTGATTAATAAATTTCTTAGTTTGAACAATTCATAATTCAATTAGCTCGATGTGACTCTCATTTTTTTAAATAAAAAAAATCATTATTAGATTTTATTTATATTTGAGAATAAGATCATTTAAATTTCGTGAACATTTATATGTTTTTTTTTTTTTGTCATTCAATTATCGTTGATTTAAAAGCTCTTTATTTTTTAAGTTCAACAAATAACTCATTTATATAATCGATGAGTTCATTGATTAGGAAATAAATAACTCAATTATATTACCTACTAGCTTGTTTGACACTTTTAATTATAAAATAAATAGCATGATAATTTTAATTTTAATTTATTCGATAGAAATTCTTTGGATATAAATTAAATAGCTCGATAATATCATTTAATCTGCTTGATAATAACTCAATTATGATTATATGGCATGAACACGAACCGAACTGATTGTTTGAATAACATATGAAATAAGCTTGAACATAAATGTGAAAACTAGATTTGTACTCGAGCTTAAATTTTATAAGCAAATTTAAATCTAAACATGACCCTAAAATTTTGATTTGACCTTGAGTTTGACTTGAGCTCGAGTTTTATGAAAGTTTCAAATATAATTTTGCTCGACTCAACTCGGATCTTTTGCAGCCACAAGTTGAAAACATTGTTTAGGGAGCTGCATGGCAACATGCATGTTTTCCCATAGCTTGGAGTCGCAGCTTGCCACGTGTCATATTACTCTATTATGACATGTGGCGATTTTTCATTGGGGAAAAAAAAAAACGTTAGCAGCTCTCTTTCAGGTGGAGCAGTGATGCTGTGTGGTGTCCACGTGGCATATGATGTTTGATGAAAGTGGCGTTAAGCATTCGCTATTTTCTCTTTTATTTTTATTTTTGATGGGTGCCTTTTTTCTTCTGGGAGATGAGTCCGAAAAATTAGAGAAAATATTGTGTCCGGACAATCAATGATCGGGCGACAGTATGATCAGGGCCACTTCATCTGGGGATGTTGTGCACGTCGAGTTGTCACTGATGCAATATTTTCTCCGAAATATAACGGAATGTAACACCAAAGTGATATATAATATTTGAAATAGTGACGTGAACATACTAAAATCACCCCAAACAACCCAAATGGGTTGTGGTCGGCGTGACCACGCCCAATGGTGGCTTGGCCACGCTGGACAAATAGAGACTGCAACATAATGACGCCACAATATGAGCGTGATCACGCCCAAATCATAGCATACGTCTGAGTTCGTTGACCGACATGACTACACCTGCAAGTGGCGTGGCCACGCCTCCTAGACATAACGACCGATGTAATTACATTGTGTCTCGGGCATGGTCACGTCGGACCTCTATCTGAAATGCTTTGAATAGTGACGTGATGACGCTTGACTGCGGTGTGGCCACAACGTTGGGACCCATTCACGAAAATGGACCTCCAGTCCCCAATTTCTCGCCGGAAAGGCGTTCGGGACAACGGATTCTTCTCCTTTTTCTTTGTTCTACATCGAAATATGATATGGGAGATATTTTGAGCCCATTCCAAATTGGGAAAGTGGTTTAGACTCCTTGGGTAATTTTTCTATGGCTGAATAACCCATGGGGGAGGGCTTATTTGAGTTGATTGACTGCATTTGCTGAGGAGGAGAGCTAGGAGCAAGGGGAGGTTTCAAGAAGCTTCTAGGGAGAATTCTTGGGGGATTCATCTTCTTTCTCTAGGAGAAGCCATATCAACCCTTTCTTCTCCATTTTCTTCACCTTTCCTTCCTTTTTTTCTGGTCGTCTTCCTCGTCTCCTGTGACATTCCAGTGGCTGACAAGGAAAGCTCCTCTCTGCTTGGGGGAAGGTCAACTTCAGCAACTCCTTCATTCTTTCCGGCGATGAGAGCTTCTTAATCACTTGGGAGAAGAAATCCAATCATCTTCTTCATCTCCGACGACTCTCTCGAAGGAGAGCTTCTTTCTAACTTTAAAGAAGGAAGATTCCAAGCTTCTCGACGTCTCAACTCTCAAATGAGGAGAGCATCCTCATCTCTTTGGAGAAGGCAAAATTCGGCGGCGGCATCACTCTTT